TGGAGGGATCACTGTTCACCTACAGTAAATCTCATCCATAAAAACTCATTTTTATTCTTATTTTATTCTTTTATTCATTTCTAATTTTCTTTTTAATGCTGTCATTTTGAAACCACTGAAATATGATGAAATAGTTAACATGATGAAATAATACATAAATGATTAAAAAGAAGAGCAACAGAATAAAAAAAGAAATTAACTTAACCTACTGAGTGAGTTATTCTGTTTTCAGAAGACGAAGAGGGCCCCCCATGTGGTCCTTGAGGGCCCCTTGGTGCCCGCGGGCACCGCGTTGGTGACCCCTGGTTTAGACGCTAGAGACTCATTTCAGACTTTAACCTGCTTGTGGCAGCATTTGCAAAAAAATGCCCTTTTCTAGACGTTCTGTGATGTAGCATCACTTTAATGCTTTAGTGTTGATGAAGAATTCAACTTCTTCCATTAAAATTGTTTCTGATGTCCTAGCATTGACCTTCTTATGTCTGTACTGCAGATGCTCTTAGCTGATACATATTCTGACAATCCATCCCTCAGTTGACTTTATTCTTCACTTGTTTTGATATCTATTGTGAATAAAAATATGTTCTGCAACCACCGACAAAAAAAGCATTATGTGATCATCTTTACAATATATGGATGACAGCAAACATTTTGAGAACGTTTATATAGCTCAACAAATATACAGAGCAGGTTGGGGTCACTCTGCACAGAATGCTATTCGGATCATTGGATCCATATTAAAGCTTTCTTTGGTCCAGATCACAGACTTATAAATATAAAAACATCCACATTTCTTTGGTTTCTTCCTCAGTATTCTCTTTTCGCAGCTATGTCTCTCACTCCAACCGCCTCCTATATGCTGCTGTTTAGCAGAGCTGACAGATATCCTCCCACTAATCCCAGGATGCAATGCTGTGTGACATCTCTGTTTATTCCTCTGAGGGCTGAAATTTGACTTTTTTAATAGATTTCACAAGGCTGTAGCAGACATACTGCAGAGAGAATTCCTTGACCTTTTTCATAATCACAGGGCTCCCACTCCGGTCCTCGAAAACGACTGTCATGTAAAGATTAGATGCACAATAGCCCTTAGAGTCAGTTGAATGGGTCATTGCCAGGCCTCTGACTTAATGATATTCTGGGATTATGTTCAGGTGAGCTGGACCAAGGGGACTCTTAAAAGTAGACAGTGGCTTTCAAGGGCTGAGGTTGGACGTACCTGCTTTAGGTTAGAGACCAGGGTACTCTCTAATCCTTCTCTTCAGCTCAGCCCACATGTTTTCTTCAGGATTACAGTCTGGGGACTGAGGTGGCTATAGGACAGGGCCGAGTTTTTGTGCAGTGAACCATTTCTGCACTGATTTGGAAAATATGTTTTGAGTCACTAACATGTTATATATATGAGGGATTGTATTTGAGTCAATGAGTCGATGCAATCAACTGGTT